ATGTGTATGTTTGCGTTTTCATCGCAACCTCTCGATCGCAGCATTAGCATGTAAGGAACATTCAAATTGCATCGTACTGAGAAAAGTATTCAAGCCTCTAAATTGCTACTTTAAGGAGCTTTAATGGAAGTTTAAAAAGCTGAATTTTTATTTCGTGCCCAGTCCTCTTGGAGGCTTAGCGGAAAGTTATATACACGTTTTTTTTTTACTGCTTTTAAATACTACAACCAATTGACCAACATTTTCTGGAAATATCTTCTAAGCACTCGTGAAAATTCGAGCATTTTAAAACAAAAATATTATTTTCATGAAAAATGGGTAGTAAAGCTCCCTTTGTCATGATTAAATTTCAATGCCATTACACTCCAGTAAACTGCTTTTGATAATGCAATTTTCCATAGAAATATATTCAAAATTCTACACAGAAAGCCGCGTTCAATAAGGTTTTCCAAATAGGCCAAAATAAACAATGACCGAATATTTTCATCTACGTACCAACATAGCAAATCACTGTAATGTTTCCATCTAGAACACAATTGCTGTTATTATCTGAATCAGACAGATAAATCTTTCATTGAAAGAAAACAGTATATTATGGTATTTTCTGCAAGATGCAATTCCACTGTAATTTTATTTTTGAGTGCGTCGGTCTTAAATTGTGTCGCAATCGTTCTCAGCCGGAGTAAAAAGCACTGGTGGTTCTCAACTCAGCTTGTGAATTTTGACACGATTTTCTTGGTAGGATATTCTCCTCTACTCATGCTTTTAAATCATTATGATTTCAAATGTGTTTTAGGAGAATATTTAAATCTCTTCTAGGAAAGCGCTTTTCAAATTCTGCGCAAGAAAAGCAGTGATGTTAATCTTCTTCTAAATCTCCGCACGACAAGATTAAAAAAAAGATATGTTTGACTTCCTTGTCGCAAAAAATCAAGGAAAGGTTACAATTTCGATTTTTTTCTTGATCGGGTAGCAATATTTGTAATATATGTGTAGCTCGACTATAAAAGTTTTTATTTTTACCATCACAAAAAATCGCAGATATTGATGTAAAATTTATCATGAAAAGTCATCACATCGGCACCAATTAATCTACATCTTTTAAGGCAGTTGTGCACGACTTTTCTTTCCTGTATCTTTTAGTTCGTTTGGCTGATTTTAAGCTGGATGAACCTCTGCGTAGGCTTAAGCTGGCAAGCCACTATAATTTGAACGTTAAATGAAATTATACGAACCTTTAAAAGTCTCAATTTCAAGTTATTTGTCAGTATTGACAGACGCTTCCAGTTTTTCTCACGTTTCCATTTTCGCGAATTCTCTTTTTCTTTTCTTTAAGGAAGCGTCAGGTCATCTTGACGTAGTTTGAACGCGTGGCTAAAAACTAATCTCTCTTAATGTTGGTTTTTAAGAATAGGAGCTCTGTTCTTGATGAACATTAGCAGAAATGAAGTTTTTTGTGATTTATGTAGATCATTTAGAGGAGAGAGATGTGACTCCTTTTCGGCTGCAGGTACTATTTGAAATAAGAACACACTTAAAATTACTGAGATTTCATGTGCAGTCTGATTAGTCAATCTTAGGCTGTATGACAGACGATCTGATTGGTCAATTTTAGGCTGTATGGATGATTCAGTTTCACACTATGATCCACAGTTGTTTTGCATTCGAAACAGAAAATAACATCTATAATCCCCTTAAGCAATCAGACGCCGAAGCCGAGGAAAACATTGATCACAATATAAACTTACACTTGATTGGAAACATTCTTCAGTTTTCGTGAAGGTATCGTTTTTCCAATTTCAATTGTTTCCTATACTTCCCCCGCGTCTTTATTTCTCTTTTTATGCACACGCGACGCACGTTATCTGGTCAAGTAACCAATCGTGTGTAGAAACCTTGAACTTGACACTGAGGTTGACGTGGACACTTCCGGAGTTGAGTTTTGCGTTTAGAGCTTTTTGCAAACTTGTTACTTGATTGGTTTGGAGTTTATGACCCCTTGGAAGCTTTTATTTTCACAGCCAAACGTATTTTAACTGTTGCATGTTTCATATCTCATCGATGGACTTTGCTCTTTAGCCCTTTGATCGGAAGAGGAATTTCTACAATGTTTTTAAAAAGATATGTTCAGTAGCTCGTTTTTTTTTTTTTTTAATGGCGCCAGACCTTTTCTTAACTGTGACATTTTAAGTGTCTTCGATTTCAGAGTGGACAAGCTGAGTAAATGATTTGCCTTCGTGGTTCCTGTTTTCGAACCATGCAAATTTGGGTGATTTCAGGTCGTTGTTTTACGAAGTCTGTTCGGAAGCAAGATTTGAAAACACACGTTAAGGGCTGTTATTCTGCTATTGATATCCCTTGTTTTACTTAAGTTTCGTTTCTTTCGTAGTTTTACTTTGCTTAAGCTCCCTAAGAAACGAGCACCATCAGAATCAGGTATCAGGAATTAAATTTCCAATATTTTCATATAAATATATAGATTTTCTATCTTATTTTATGTCATATTCTTAAAAGAAGTGAACACTCGTTATTAGCTGTTTAGTTGCCAAATGTTATTTAGAACTCTTATAAGATCATCCAGATTGGCACACCGTATTATTATGTCCGAACGATGACAATGAATACTTCCGTTCCATCATTTCGTGGTTTTTGCCGAAAATGGTTTGATGATCCAGCTTTTGAGAGACATTTTTCTCATCCCCCTCGTAAGGAATTACTTGGATGAGGTTTCAACTAGCAAATGGGCTATAATTGCTTATCCAGAACAGAAGTATTAATTATCACTCTGTCGTTCCGTAGAAGACGTAGGTATTAAATTTGGGTTCCTTCGTTTCCAGGAACTAATCGCACGAATGAGTCCAAGTTTTTTTTCATGTAGACTTTCAAGAATAAGTAGAAAAGGAAGTGGAAATACTTTTGTTTTGGGATGACATATTTCACAAGCCCCACGCAGTATGACAAAATTTCACGTGCATATGAAATTTCAAGTGAGATGAGTGTTATAAGCGAATGATGAGTGTGCCTTGATGCCTTTCCAAACGCTTGAAAAAAAACGCAGAAGTGCGTCTATTTTTACAAGTAGTGATTTTTAAAAAGCATTTTAAAACTTTGTTTAAATTGAATGTTAAACATAAATAACTTCATATCCTTTTAATGTCGAAAAAAGTTGCCAACCAATTTAAGACGTGATGGTCTGAAGTCCAACTGGTGAGTCAATTTCCTGCAGATTCAGCGTCAGTTTTCTTTTTGTTTGTAGTTCACTTTCCGAAGACAAGAAAGTTATTTACGTATAATTTCAAGATAACATAAAGAAATAGAAGCTTCTCTTTGACTTTAAGTCTTGCACGATTAAAACCAATTTGCTTGTTAATTTTCTTTACATCACAATGTTCACTCGTTTTCATCGTTTAAAATTTGATTTGTTTGTTTCTTAGGAGAAGAAATAAGCCCGCAGTACATACATACATACGTTTATTGTAACTCCCAACTCGGGCTTTTCGCTTACAATGTCTAATTACAATATTTAAAATACATATAAGTTAAAAGGGAGAAGGAATAGCAGGCAGTCGTTCCACTTTTGTCGGACATCAACCATTGTAAACCTAGCATAACTTGCATAATTGTATATCAGTATGATTATATATATATCTCTCTCTCTCTCTCCTTTTCTCTTCGATTTTTACCTCTTTTGAGACTTATTATGCTTTATATTATACTATTCAGTTTTAAAATAGCATTTTCAAAGTCTGCTTTGCTGTTTATTCGTCACTATTCCACCTCAAGACTATGAGTATAATATTTGTTGGAGGGTGCCAATAGTGTAAAAGCCCTGTTGTTTCTTGCGGGCCTCATCGCCACTTTTAGCATAATTTGTTTTTTTCTGTGCACTTAAAACTTGATAATTAAATTTTGGCAAAAAAGGTGGAAAGAAAAAAACAACAACAATAACAGCAACCGAAAAAAACCTGAAAGACGAGAGAGACATAAGGGAATAATTTGAGGATAGACAAATGATGAGGCAGCAGAATATTCACAACGAGCTTCGATTTGCCCATCAAAGCCGGAGGCTTTTTGTTTAACACTTTAGCTTTTCTGTTTTCACGTGAAGGAAAATTAGTCCCCTGTCGTTTAACCTCTGAAAAACATCACCTTGAGAGATCTCTTCAAATAATTTATTTTACTCAGCTCATCGACTGAAAAGAGTTTTGTCTGTTAATGCAACATGTGTTTTTCTTACGCGGAATATCACTTTTGCGGCATTTGCAAAATAGGAACAACATCTGCGGATCTATACCTTTGTTCTGATTCGACTTACTTTAAATGGTAGGAGTTTTGCCTTTGATGTTAATCAGAAATATGATATAATTGTGACTTACAAAGTTTCCATCCAAAGGTTGAGTTGCCCAGTTTCTTACGAGAACCCATGAAGATGGAAATCTTAAGACTGACGGATTAAATCGATCACACACGTTCACTTTGAAGTCAGGCACTTAATCGTGACTTAGTTCAAAATAATTTGAGTTTGTGTGCCAATGTATAAAACGCAGGTTAAATAGTTTACAATCTAATGGTCAAAAGCGACGATATATTTGTTCTCAGCTAGTAAACCATTTTATAATATAAACCCAGTGAAGAAGAATCTAAATCTAATGCCACAACTGAGAACTAAAGGGCGGGCTTGCTTTAATTAGTCATGTTTTTGTTATTCCCACTGCTCTGGTTGATAAAACACTGTTTTTTCGTCAACTTTGGTAATTTCATAGAATTAATCAGAATATCTTTCAGAAATCCCATAGGGAGAACAATACTACTATTTTTCAGAATTTTAGCGTACGTGTTATTTAAGTTACCGCTCTAGGGGGTTTGGTATGTACTTGATAGATTGGCTTAGTAAACAGAAATAATAGTCGTACTTGAGACAGCCACTTAGTTGTGCTCTTTAACTCTTCCATTCAACACTTTAAATAGAGACATAAGCAAACAATTTTTTTTAATTTTAGAATTGAAGGCCAGAGACATTAAGGTGGTAAAAACGTTACATAACGCGACAGTTGAGGATTCAAAGATGTCTGAAGAACTTCTCAGTCCGAGCACTTACCACGTCTTAGCCTTTGTTTACATCGTGTTGGCCATCGCTGCAATCTTCTTCAATTCCATAGTCCTTTTGACGTTTATTATGGACCGTTCCCTCGTTTTGCCAGCCAACGTTCTCATCATAAGCATAGCTACTTCTGATTGGCTGATGGGAGTTATGATAAATCCCCTGGGAGCAGCCGCAAATGCGTCGGAGTCTGCATGGTTCACTGACACTACCTGCACATTTTATGCTTTCGTGTCAACTTTCTTAGGCCTTGGAACCATGTTGCATCACGCAGCATATGCATTGGATCGATATTTCGTACTCTCTCGGCCAATGGAATCACAACACAGCATGAGTCGCATGATAACAGTGGTTCTGATACTATGGGGTTTTTCCCTTATGTGGAGTCTTTTCCCTTTGTTTGGCTGGTCTGCGTACGTCCCTGAGGCCGGGAGAATTGCTTGCTCCTTACGATGGCAATCGGCCAAACAAGGCGACACTTTCTTCGTCATCTGCCTTTTTGCGTTTTTCTACATCATTCCACTCGGCGTCATCCTAATCTCTTACACACTCATGTTCGTAAACGTTCGATACATGACAAAAAACGCTCAAAAAATCTGGGGAGTTAACGCAGCTGCTACCTTGGAAACTATCAAAGCAGCGTGGAAAATGGCCAAGATTGGCTTGCTTATGTTCATTGGATTCTTCGCCGCATGGACTCCATACGCAGTCGTTTCCTTCTACGCAGCCTTCCTTTCGACCGACTTTTCGCTTATTACTGCTGCTTTCCCAGCGATGTTCGCCAAGACATCCAACATCTATAACCCAATCATTTATTTTTTCGCATACAAAAACTTTCGCGAAAGCCTGTTGAAACTATGGCGTCGATACAGGAACAGAAATACCGTGATGCCCCTCGGTCAGTCTAGTAATGCAGCCTTTGTCATAAGCTCCGCCACAAGGTCAAGACAACGCCATGATTCCACCTCGGTTGAGGAATTCTCTTTATAAAAACCTGAAAAGAATACAACATTACATTGTAGTCTTGCGACGCTCTCCATGTAAATGCAGTGTCATGATTAAACATTTCAATGGGTGGAAGACTTCTCCCTTCGTAAGCCATCAAGAATTCTGGCAGCGCACGAGACAAGACATTCAGCACTGGCATGCAGTAACACACAACTACATGTCAACAACAAAGGAAAAGTATTGTTGAAGAGTATATGACTGTCTCTTGTATGATTCTGTAAGCACAAATTACCTGTTTCTATTTATCATTGCAACCCACACTGTAAATTGGAATGGAGTTCCTCTCAAGTAAAGCCTCCAAACGTGGAACGAGACTTTGTGGATGCATATTGTTAATTACCCAGTTGATTGTAGAGATTAAAGCGATCCGATTGGTCAATTACTGTACTATATCCTTCTTTAAGTACTCACTGGGAAGTGATTGTAATAATGAAGCCCTTCCTTTGAAAAAAAAGACAGCAATCAAATAAAAAATGGCCACCAAGCGATTTCTTGATGTTCTTGAATAAGAAGTATTATCAAGAAATGAAAAAAGAGTAGTAATCATCCTGGAAACTACACGAAAAAGAGTAATTCTTCTTGCATGGTGGAGAACGTTGTCTCAGGAACTGTTCGACAACTACTTTGCCTCTGTTGAAAAAGCTCGTGGTCGCTCTTGGTGAGTAGACACAACGACAGTGCTGTTTGAATAATATTTCGCCTCAGTCGATACAGCAGCACTGACCACCAGTAGCAACTCGATGAGACTGCGGATTGCATGCGGTGTCCTCATTTGCACGGTCATGTGTGACTTTGTTTGATTAACTGTTGAAAACATATCCATAACTATCAATCTCAAATATTTCAATGGAATACTGCTCGAGACTTATTGAAGTCGCATCTCGTGAATTAACATGATCAGTACACAACGATTCGCGAACTAATTGCTTTGCAACAGGGTTTACGTGGAAAGTTCTCGAGAAGAAGAGGGCTTCGTAAAGGGTGATCCAATATCCCGTGCAGCCCCCTCCGTCTTAAAAGACGAAAATGCATTGAACCAGCAAACAAAATCGTTAATAATTGAAAAAGTTCAGTGCTGCTTTCATCAAGGGGAATTAATACACCTTTGTTATTCTAAGTTGTTAAATTAACCATATCGCTATAATGAAATCTCTGCTGTCAGCACTAACCGTTAAATAAGTGAAAAATCTAGCAATTTTTGTTCAACTTCAAGATATTGCGTGATTTAACTTTGGAAGAAAATCGATGCCCTTTCTGCTTGTTTCATTTGCACATGTTAAAGGTACAAATTACCTGACTGAGACAACTATCTCGTATTTTTTTTCTCAAAGGACAACAACAACAAAGACGACGAGGACAACAAAAAAAAAATTATACAAAAGAGAAACATCCGATTACATTATCTTGTATCTATTTCTCTCTAAATCCTTGCCATTTACATTATCGTATACAACTTAACACCTTTATTATAGATTTGACAACATATCCCTTAGAAAGATTCCTTTGATGGAGAGTTATACAAAATCCTTACACAGACGTGAAAAGTCCACCATCTCATGATCTCATCGGTTCATTCAGCAGCAACCAGGCACTTTCTTAGCTTGTTATTACGTCCTTGGTGATCTTTAGGATATCTAGTTTTCTTAAATTTGTACCTCCCTGAGGCACCTACTGATACTTTTATAAATTTATTTATTTATGCAACTATTTTGCACTACGCCAATCAACTAATTCACTCTCTCCGACATCACCATTATTGAAAACCTGTTCGAACCTTAACGCCTTTTCCTCACCACACTACCAGGCCAGATCATCAACGAATTATTAATCGTTTGAAATGCTGCATAAAATCTTCTTTATAGTTTTCGAAAAAAAGTCAGTCACTTAAGATAGTCTGTGGCAAACTGGAAGTGTTCCCAAAAAGAACAATTATCAGTGAAAGACACAAGGAAGGAGAAATTGTTTCTTAATCAAGTAGTATAACGATCAGAAGAACACACTGCCACGGTCTTTGCAAAATCCCAGACCGCTCTGATTATAAATCATAGCACCGAGGCCCAAATAAACGTTAATCTGCAGGTCTTCATCACCAACTTGAAAATTGTTGAGTCTTTCTTGGTGGGGATCGGCTTCTCTAGCCTCAGTAATGGCCTTCTTGAGAGCTTTGAAGAACAGTTCGTGCTGCGAACGATCTGGGGGGGAGTCCTGGAGCATGCTTTGAACGTGACTCGTCAAAGTGAAGTAGGGCATGTCAGACCATGGGTTCCACAGTTGAAAGAAGCCGGGTTCCACACGGGAAAAGAAAATTCGCATGCCCGACTGTTTGCTACGAGGGCTGTTTTCCGCATAACCAGTGACCCTATGAAGGGAAAAATATATGCGCGTGAATATCTGGTAATGCTTGGACTGCCTCACAAAGTTGTACTCTATCTCACCACTTAAGAACTACCTGTTAAAAATATTAGTTCTCGCATTTTCCCGAACTTTCGATTCCTTGTGCAAAGTTCCAGTATTTCTCGGTTCACGCGTGCATTCAACAATCCCTGACAGATAAGAAAAGCGGTAGTGAGCCTAAGGGGTGCAATGCATTCCAAAAACAAAACCTAAAACACGAGCGCATTGCGAGGAACGATGGACTGCTAACAACTTCCAGAGTGGAACCCATGTCACGTGTAAAGGAGAAGAATTAAGCCGGCCAGTTAAGATAAGACGTTCTCGATGTTATTGTGGTTTATTAAACTATTTCAGTTAAAACATCTCGAAATATTACTTCTGCAAGAATATTTACCTCAACAGGGGTAAATAAAACCATATTTACAACTCGCACGAGTTTAAAATTATACAATCATCAAACATCTTGAATCGTTAATTAATTAATATTTAGTATACAGAGATATTTCTCAAGAATATAACTGTTCCAATCTTCGCTTTGCTTATTGCATTATTATTATTATTATTATTATCATATTATTATAATCATCATCAAGAGAACTATCGAAGTCCTTCGCGCTCATGCAGCAAAAGCAGTGGTCTGTTGGCTCTTCATGCAGTAAGACATAGCCTATGCTACCAGTCTGTAAAGACGTTTGTGATGTCCTTCTCAAGGTCTCTTCAGGTGAGCCTAGAAAACCGGGCTGGCCAGACAAACGGAATAAATTTTGTCACCTGTTCAAATAGGAAGGTACAGCTAGGTGGCCGTGAGGGACAAATGACGATGTTTGAGGCTTACCTCAGTAACCTTACTGGAGTATACCTGTTGGAGATTTCTGGCCTATTTCCGAGATTTCGATCAGCCGGACAGCCCGTCTACCCACACGAACCTACCGGAACAACTAAGATAGTGAACCCGCCCTGTTGACCTGATTCTTACCGAGAAGCCTAGGTCAAGTTCCTGCGCTATGTACTTCACCTCAACATTATCACGATTTGTTAAAATTTAGAGAAAATAAATAGGACTTCCTGACAAAACCAGATTTTAACTGGTTTGCTATAACATATTTGCAGCATGAGAGGGAAATTCCACAGTTCAAACAAATGATCTACTATTAAGAACCAATACTATTCACAGCTATTAGAGTCAAAGTGTCCTAAAATCCAAACTTTCCGCGATCACGATTGAAACCAAGGATGCCGTAGTTGTGAAATATGGATGAAATCCCACAATACACTTCAATCATGATAGGCTCATTATGCTCAATCTCGAGAGAGTCTTGTGCCACACCCTCCTGAAGGGTATTGTGGGAATCGGTAATGGCCTGGATTAGAGACTCCTGAAACGGATCAAGCTGCATATGCGGGGGCAGATCACTTACGACATCATTCCCTTTGTGCCAGCAGAAAGTGACAAAGGGCACCTCGTGTGACCATGGATTCCAGTTCTGGAGAAAGCTGGGTATTGTGTTTTTGCCAAAGTAGACGCGTAAACCAGTTTGGAAGTGACGTGGACTGAAAATATACGGGGGGAAACTGACACTAAGCTTAAGCGTAACATTGTCATTTTGATCGTCAACTTTTCGTGGAAGCGAATGACACGGGAAGCGTCAACAAGTCATAATGCAGTGTACCTCATCTCCCGATCACTCGTACCTTTGCTACCGGTTGTCAATCATGCCTTGGGCTAATTTGAATCAAAAAGTACCCCACCCCCCCTCCTCCTTAGAATTCTTTGAAACATTTATTATGACGAATTACTTTCTTAGTGATTCTAAGTGAACTTTTTTACTAGCCCAAGGCAATTCTCGTTTCCCTTCCAGTCAATATTACTACTGTATATGTGACAAGTCACAACGACAGTACTACGGTACAAAATGTTGAATGTAAGTTGAACATGCGGAGTATTATTTGTCTACTTCGTGTTTGTTTTTGCATTACAAAAGGCAACGAGCAGTCCCCATCAGGTTCTGCTGGACAAGGATAACCTTGACTAAATTGGCTTGTGTCTTTTTAGCTTTACTCCTCAAGTTCTTAATGTAAAATGAAACTCAGTTTATCAAAATGTACAATGTGAGAATAGAATTTAATATTTCACTTTTCCCAATTATTGCATGTAATTCGTTCTCAACTTTCAATGGTTCTGACCTCAACTACCTCGAGCCTTTTACAGTTTTTTAGAAAGGTTTCAGTTATTGGGAGTCAACTGCATTAAGAGAAGCTCTACCCCGGCAGTGACCCAATAGTTATTTAGCATCCCTCTCCCCTTAGGAGTATACACGAATACCAACATCATACTGCAGAAACCAGGATATGCCTGGGAGCTATTCCAGTCAGAATAAAATGCTGACCTGTCCATTCTTTAGCACCTTTCACTGTAGTGGAATTTTTTCACCCTCCCCCTCTGAACGATTCCAATTCATACGAATGTTTCTTGATAAAATTTTCTTTCATTAGCCCCTACAATCCCAGGAGACCCAAGTTCTTCTTTACATGTTTTCATTAGCACCTTTTCAAGAGGGTGATGCAAAGAAAAATATCAACTATAAAATATTTTTACATTGAAAACCAAATTCTTGTGATAAACTATAAGACATGTACTTGTGTATGGAAGACAGTGCAGAGAATGCAGATTTAAAAGTTGTGAGCAAGAGAGTTAAAGAATATCCATAAAACAGAGATTCAAACACATTGATAAATAAATTTGCATTTCATACAGTTACCAACTCTACACGATCATAACATGTAAACAAATGATATGTACTCACATCATCATTGTGGTCTTTGGATACACAAATCTGCCGATCTGAATCTTATCACATCTTATCAGTGGAATCTTCCTCATCTCATTAACTTTCAGTCCAATAAAATTGTACTTGACAAGACAAAGGCTCTTCTCTGTGATTAAGACAATTCTTTCTTTCTCAAGATCCCAATGGTCAATTCTATAAACAAAATCACCAATATTATTACACCAAACAAAACAAATCAATTCTGTTACCCTGATTTAATCTATATTGGTTTTTCTTTGTTTTGGTTATCCTTCCCTTTACTATTTTTTACATTTTATTTTCATTTAAAAAGTCTCTCTCTCTGGCATTTCACCTAACGATAACTGAGAATTTTTTTAAGATGGCACTCAACCAAACTGAACTTTGTTACAAACAGTGTAATAATAAGGAATTCTCTGTCTTGTGAGTGGCACTAAATAAAAAATGACATCTTCAGGATCAAGGTTGACATTTGGATTGGAAAGCCTGCTTTTTTCCCCTCAGTTAAAGAATTCAACAGTCAATAATCCAAGTTTTTCATTAAAATAAGACTGGAAGAAAATTTCTCAGGTTTTTTAATATGGATCAGAGAAAGAAGGAAAATTTCAGGGGTATGTGGAAAGTAAGTAAATAGTGTGGAGGATGCCAAGTAAATGCGACATTGAAGGGGTCTAGAGGGGTGTGCTCTCCCAAGAAAATTAAAATGTGACCTCTTTGAATGGAATTCTTACATTTCTGGGCAAGAATTATTAATTATTGCAATAGATCATAGAAATCAATTGGTTTTTAGTTTACTGAGAACTGTTATGTTAGAAATTAAAAAAAAAAAAAGGGAAAGTGGAAACACACTGCTTAGTTATATAGAACCAAAAACAACTAGTAATACACAGTTGTAGTTAATATAATTCATAATTTTTTTTCATATGCAATAATGTGTTGACTCCAAATACATGTATACAACAAATCACTTCAATTACTCCTATTGTAGATACAAATTTACTGCTACATGTAATAAACTACATCTAAAGAAGAGAATTCGTTTTTTTGTTTTGTTTATTTTTTTATGTTGCCATTTTGTAATTAAGAAACATCAGTAGAAATAAAAAAGGAATTACATATACATCAATATGATATGGCTGAAGATTCAGCACGTGGTGAGGAAACCCCAGGGGAAACCAAGAGGCTTATCAGGGCATGGAATTAATTTTTTTTTTCGGATAGTCACTTGGCTCCTAAATTCTTCAAAGTGGTAGCCAATTCAGAAAAAGTTGGTCACCATTTTCAAAGACAAACATAACCTTTTTTTACGCTGTCATCGTTCTAGAAATTAAATTAGGGAAAAGATCTTTAATGTGATACAAAGCGGACACTAGGATGGATGATATGCAACGTCCAAGCTCACAAAACATACATAAAACAACAACAACAATAGCAGGCACTCAAACAAACATATACTTAAGCAGCATGAGAAACGTAAGAAAAAATAATAAAAAATAAATAAATAAATAAACAAATAAATAAAGAAGAATAAGAAGGGTGTCAACTTAGGAGTAATGTTTGCAATTTAGACTTAAACAGGGTGTGCCAACATTTTTGATTTGAGAAAATTGAAAAATTTAGATCCTTGGAAACAATGCGAACTGACTGATACATATTGTATTTGTTCTACAAGGGGGTATATAAAAAGAATTGCATTGTCTGGTGTAATTACAAGAGTGTATTATCGGATGGACTGCAGACTTAAGAGGAATTGTTTATCACACCAATCTACCTTGGTATAACACCATTAAAAGTTTAATAAGAAGAACAGGGAGAACATAGATACTAATGTTGGGGAGTAAAGGGTTAAATTACAATGACTTACTCGCTCAATAGCCATGAACTGAGAAGTTCTCCGTCATATGCATCCAAAGAGGCCTTGCACTCCTCCACAGCATTAGCAAATGCCCCTTCCTTGAATTCCACAAATAGGTAACAGTTAGTTTAGTAAATAAAATTTCATGCTGATGTAAGGAGACTAAAATGCCCACCAAGGGAACTACAGTTGTAAATCAGTGCAGGGAAAGGAACTTAATCAAAGAATACTTGATCCAAGCTGTATGCAGGATGTCTATTTTATGTGAACTTTATGACCCAGCTCACTGCACAATCTCACTGAAGCTCAGTGGCAGAGCATCAAAGCCCAAAATCTGACTATCTAACCTTCACTTCTCCGTAGGGACTCACAACTTGTTTTCTGTCCCCAGCTAAATGTAAAAACACCTTTCATAATTCAAGTCATTTTTCCATGTTTTGTTAAAAATCATGAGATAACAGGCATTTCATCGTGACAAAACTTCACTTGGACCAGAAATAAAAATTGTTTTACTGTAAAAAATACCAGAGGTTTGCTACAAGATGACACCAATCCTCATCATGGTGCTTCAAAAATTTATTATTAAGGGCTGTACTTGTAAAATCATGGCAATTTAAAAAGTAAATAAAAACATCCATCAACCACCATAATTTGCCTCCGATAAAATTATTTTTGTACCTGATCTTTCATAAATGGACGGTAACATCATTTATCATTGTTATAAATAAATAATGACATAACTGCAAGCAAAACAAGCAAAACAAGCAACACTTCAATTGCTGAGAAATTATCCAAGTTCAAAAAAGAGTCAGGATCTAAACATTTAAACATACTAAGATGCTTTTCAAAGTGGGCAAGGTACAAAATGTAAGAAGTCAGATCAGTCATGTGATCATTTCAAAAGATACGCAGACCGATTCACGATTATGTGTCTTCCAAACATGCACATAACTACGCCGAGAACTTGCTACTTTAGCGACAAATCTGCCAACTAGAAAAGCAATGGATAATCTGCAAACATCTCACAATCAAATGAGCGTAAGATGAACTCCACAAAGTGCTTTTATGGGAATTTTGGTGCTACAAAAGCCTGGATATAAGTCGTGCAACCAAAAGCTGCAGAAAGCTGTTTCGTGCAAGGACTTGAAACACACCTTTAATTTGCCTACGTGCAAACTTCTCTCAAAATCTTCGAAAACGATACTTGTGTGAAGAATTTTTCAGACATAATATGTACATACCCTGAGTGAAAAATACTTCTTGGCCTGTTCTTTCCTCATTTTATCACCGAGTTCTTTCACTTCTTCACTGGTTAGCACGCCGGTTCGAAGGTTGGGTTGCGACTGAAATGGAGAATGCTTCACTTCGACATCTGGTACACTCACTTCTTCGTCAATTTGTACATTTGACATATCGGATGCAGAACTGCTTCTTTTATCGACTTCTGATGCTTGAGCAGCCATATCTGTCGCAAAATTGTAATTATTTGAGGGTTTCTATCTGCACTCTGTTTCGCACAGGAAAACTGAACGATCAGCGACAGTGATCTTTAGTTGAGTTCCAGGCTCCCTCTATCTTGGGAGGTGATGTATTCTGGGTACAATACGTCATGTACGTTACAGCAAAAAATAAACCAAGAAGGATTAGGAGATAACTTATGTATGAATTGGTCAATGAAATTGTTAGTGAATTCACACAGAATCAACTTAGGCTAATGGGGAGGAGATACCCTTTGTGAACTAAAGTTCATACACTGAAAACTTTCAAATACTTTTAAAAAAATACGTGCCTGGCATGACGTGACATTTCCTTTTGCCCCTAAGACTGGTTAGATATCTTTCGCAATTTTCACCTACCCAATAATACCGACCTACAATAATTGATTTTGTGTAGTTCACTCGCATTTTACAGTCACTTGGTTGCATTTTCTTATTACACGCAGGTGCGTGTACTGACGCGCAGTGTGCGTGTTTCGCGCATGTAGAGCGCGACAAATTAACGCGCGTTAAGAGCGTTTAATGCTGCAATACACGAGGGTGGTACTGTAATACTTAAACTTAGGGATAACACAAACAGACAAGATAAATCTTTTTTTTTTTAATTTCTCTTTTAGATTAAGCCCATTACAAATAAATGGTTCCCCATCAACGTCTCTACCTGGTCCTCCCAAAGAAATGAATCAGGTAGGCTGATTTCAAACTTTAGTGACTCGTAAACTGAATACTATATTTAATAAATATTGAACAAATTTTCCGTTTTTATAATATATAATCCTGTGCTCGATTTGTGCCATGAATTTGTGGTTAGCAGCTTTCAAGTAACATATGTTAGATCACCTTTTTGCAGAACAGTTGCAAAAAGGATGACAACTGGATAAATCTTATTGAAAGCTGCCAGAATCACACAACCTTAGCACAAGTTACAGCTTTTTCTGCAGCTGATTTGCATGTATTTCCTGTATCTTATGTTCCGGTGAAAACAGTAACCCACTGACGCCCATCTTTGGCAGTACATGTTCCTGTTCCTGCAATGGCGCCGGATGGGAGGGTCTGATGACAAAGCACACAAATTATAAATTAATTCACCTTGTTGGAGTTTAAAAAAAAAAAAAAAAAAAAAAACCACGCACGCCCCGGGGTGCGCACTCTCAAACATTTGGTCCGTAATAATAGTAGGACTGAGTGGAGTCCAATTCGTTCTTTAATAATTCGAGTGAGAAACAAAATCATACGACCGCAAAAGGGGGAGTCCGATTTGTTAATCACGACTATGATTACCGACAGAATTGGTCCGGTTACTAATCAATCAAAACTATGAAAAAATTTGAGAGGAAGAAAAAATATCTAATCATCCTTTTTTACAGAAAAAAAAAATAGAAAACTACAATTAACTCGGCGAAAAATGCGACAACAGCGCGCGCATATGACAAGCCACACGAATGCATATTGTGCAATTACACTGGCCCCATGCATGCATGATGTATACACTGTCCTTTTAGTGCTCAAATCAGGCTTTTTGGTATTAAGTGCTCAAATCTGGCAGATGTAAACTAATCACTTTGGTGAATTTTGTTTTGGTATTTGATACCTATACTTATATAGACCTAAATGATTACTTTACGAGTTAATAAATTATGGTAATAGGACTGAATGTAGTCCAGTTCGGTTTGTAATCATACGAGTGTTTTACAAAATCGGACGACTGCGGAAAATAGTGATTTATAAGGAATTAACCAAATGGCAGAATTTGAAAATAAGAGTAATTATCTATAAGGAATGAATAGGGATGCAGGGATTTCTCAGGTGTGTTGGCACTTATTGCTCGCAGTTTTCCCCGTTTCACTTACTTCTCGTATTGTTATACATCATGCTCTTAGCACAGAGAAAAGCATAAAACCCCGCTATTTCTAACCTGTTGGTTTGGCTGTGGCTTTTGGTGTTGGACTTGCTGTGGTGTACGCGAAGCAGTTATAAAATTTATTGATCTTCTTGATGTCTATTTCACTAAGGCCCTTCCTTTGACCAATGGTAGTCCACTTGTCCTTTGGAACGACCGTCGGAAATCCATTCCCAGTGAAGGCATATTTTCGATAGTGCATTACGGATCCATAATCGTAAGGAAGGTCCAAGGGATCTGCGTCTCCATGACTGTATTTTTGAAAGTTAAATTGCTGATCTGACAGTGTTTGAAGAAAAATCGAGGTCAAATAGTGAAACTCACTGATTTAATTCATACATAGATAGGGGATGGGCTTAGCTATGAGCTCTTGTGAATGAGCGCCACAGAAATAAAGATATGATATCATTGTATTACCCAAAATTTTCGAGAATAGTTTAATTTGCAACTGTGGCAGGAGAGACATATCAGCGGTGCAATGTGTAGTCGGCCTGAAAAGCGAAAAATTGGTCAAGTATGGTTTTTCCTGCAGATTATATCAGTTGCGAAATTGGCACGTTTTCCATTGAAGTAATCTACAGCTTTTCCATTGAAGTAATCTATAGCTAAAGTTATACATGGGAAAGCTATCTTTGTTATGCTCCTGGGCTCTGATAGATGATGTTCAATGTTTTTCATTTCGACATTTCAAACACTGAGAAAGTGCATTTGTCTGTATTATTTTGGCACATTCAGGTGAGGAATTTATTAGCAGACGACCAAACAAAATTTTTGAGAGAAACTATCCAACTATTCTACCGGATTATCAATCAAAGTTGATATCATCTCTCTGTTTTTTATCTTTTTCCTCTTTTATTCAACAATTTTGTCTCGTTATAATTTGAATAGCATACCTTTCTCAATATTGTTCCAGTATACTGTGACATATTTATCTCTGTCCAGGCGGGACTGTTCGTGAAAGAAACCCAGTGCGTGCATAAACTCGTGTATAGCGGTTCCCTTTCGCTCACAACCTTTTCCTAAAGATAATCGCTGTTTGCCGCCGCTGCGTCCGATCGAAGACCAGCAACTATGAGTCAATAAACAGATAATGTCAAACAGCGACTGGAGAAAACTTTGAGCTGAGGGGTCTATATCCTGAGGGTTACTTGTTCCTATATCGTACTACCCAACAACAGCAAATTTGTTTTAAGAATCGAAAGAAGTTTTTGGTTTTTACAGGAACTCTTAGGGTGCCACGTCTGCAGGCATAATATAACTGGAATGTGCTTCGTTGTATGACAGGCATTTGAAGGCTCGACTGGTTGTTTGCCTTGGAACAGAGGGTCTCAGAGACGCCTGTGGACCAACATTTTTCTCCTCCTTTCCCATCTTTACCCTTGATCAGAACTTACTATTTTCCACGTGACACAATATATATGTAATCTTCTTCGTTTTTCCTTGTAACAAATCTGATACACGTGTGCTCTTCAATGTCTCTGATTGCAAGTTCCACAGCTTCCCTCACTCGCGAGCCTTTAACGAAAGGAAATAACAAGTGAAATAAATATAAGCTAATCTATATCACTGCCTAGGTTACGTATGGGGCAGTGTTTTCTGATTTCATTTCTGATGTCGAGTGCAATGCGTGACGAGGATAGCTTTCACAAAAGCGAAAACATCGGTCTAAATTTTTTAGATGGAGATACTTCAATCACGTCCGTGGTGCTCTAGTGTGTGTTGAGCTTTCCAAAAGCTGCTTGTCCCAAGAGCTCATTTATTGTATTCATGCCCGTATGAATAACCACAACAGAGCCTTAAATCTACGGAACTAAAGAGCTTCACTCGTTTTTGCTGTACTGTTTTAATTACTACTCACTAACGCCCCCAAAGGTGTAAGGTATAACATTTGATGACCACTTTTTGTTTGGTGATGAAATGGCACTCCGGACTGGCCGCCTTCGCAGACTCTGAAGTAAGGACTGAGTGCTTCGATCCAAAAATATGTCGCCCTCGTAGATCCTTTCGTCTTTTACTAAAAAGTAGAAATAAACTCAGATGAGTGCGATCGTCTCTTTAAAAGAACAACTTTCCCTTATTCCACATTAGCTTTGGGTATTGCATAGCTTTGCTTCTTGCTAAGTAGAGAATTTTTGGTATTCAGTGTCAGGTTTTGGAAAAATCCATGCCAGATGATTGAATGAAGGGCAATGTTTTGGTGGCCTGAGGGTGATCAAACACCATTTTTATCAACATTAAACAGGTGAATATCGATTACATCTGACAATGTTTGCGGTCTTCTTGTACTTTACAGGCTCTGCTGTTTGGGTTTTTCCCAAGAGTGACTCTAATATTCTCTTCTCCTTGTGACGGCTGCCTTGGACAGAGAACCACTTTACATTTCTGCATACATTGCTACGTATCTTTTTTTAAAAAAGTAACATTATGTTTTCTCAAATACACAGAAGATCAGTGACATAGCGCAGTCTCCCAAAGAGCAGCCACGTTGCAATTAAAACGCTAATTTTAGCATTTTAAATTGCGTTTTCGTCTCGTTATTATCATGCACAGTGATGACGATCGCCAATTGGATTAATTACAAATTTCAAAAGCAACGTGCTGATGAAACTGCTGTAAAGTAACATTCTACATAACAACTGTTTCAATTGAAGGCTTTCCAATAATTTTCAGAGAGAGCTGGAAGTATCCTAATATTGGCGCAAGTTTGAATATTCGATGAGGCAAAGAAATGGCCGGCTTGCTCACATAGGCAGCTCTAATGTGAGTAATCTGGAAACACGTGATTGCAAAAGCTATAGTTTTGACTAAGGCCTCTCAAGCAAAAGCTCTTCAGGAGGATTAGTATGGTTGGAGCGAGTCAGTAAAGCCCGACCGTTTAACCAGATGGAATAAAACGGGTGGGCGGCGGGAAGGATAAGAGAGAGGAAGACAGGAAGGAAAGGAAAAAAGAGAAGGATGGAATCGTGGCCTCGACTCAGGAAGAAAAGGAAAGGTTTGACCAATACCAAGAGTTATGGTTACCCTTTCTAGCACGAGTATTTGTAGAGATCAAAATGGAACAGACGATTCAAGCCCAAAAAAGTATGAAAAAGCTGTAATCATCACAACAGATAACAAAGAAAGTTTGTGATAACAAAAGCGTCACAACATTGACGTCAGTTTATGTCATTGATAAATACAACCAAAAGCCAAAATTATTTATGAAGGTGCGCTTTACTAAGAAACAAATGATGATAATAAACTGGGCATCATAGGTGTGAAATCGATAACTTTTGTGATTTGATCTTTAGTTGGTCAAAATCACAGATGTACTTGCTGTTCTCCTAAATAAACTCAATAAAAACACTATAACTCATAATAGACACTGTATAATTTTGTTGAATAATCTGCGGTCAAATATGTGTTTACATAATTGATAGCATGCTTAAACATAATGAAATTTTAACAAATGTTAGTTTTAATTAGTTTACGCTTACAAATTTTACAGCACTTCTAAAATAAAAAAAATTGTGAGACACCCGTACAACAAACTATAGCTATTTTGTTGCTAAATTTCACTCCATCTCAGCGGTGTGTCTGTCATATGTTTGTTGTTTAATGTGCCCTCCGTGTTTTATTCAAAATAAGCCCACCTTTATGCTGAACTTCTCGCTGGCGGTTTTGATGTAGGTGTTTCAGCGTACTCCTTCCCAAAGTGTAATTTGTAATGGAAAGTCCAATGAGAACGTAAAGTAATTTCATCTTAATAACAAAGTCCATCTATTGATCGAATGATCGAGAATGTAAGTTTGTTTTTTTGTCCCAGTTGTTCTCGCTGTGGTTAGCATTTGACCACGTTCTCCGCTGCAGTTCTCAATAGCGTTCCGTGGTAACATGAAACTTTTATCAACAATGGATAAAGGTCAAGAGAGCAGGGTGGACATGACGTCACACAACCGCCCCAAACAATGCGTCAAGGGCTGGCTTCTGTAGAGTCTTAAGATGGGAATGAACTGGAACAAAGGTGGAAAGTTTGAAATTGGTTCCATGGAAAGCATCGCATGATATGCTCTAATTCATTTCATCACTTTCAACTGTTTTGAAAAACAAAACTGAAGTAACGAGGTGACAAGTGTATTAATAACCAAAGCATCAATTTAATAGATGTCTTCTAATATCTGTGTGGTCTGCATTCACGCGTCAGTTATCAATTGTGTCAAGAAACGTGACCAAACAGAAGCAAAAAAAGATCATGCATTTATTCCCTATTTGTTCAAGATAAATCAGCCATAAAATCGCGTTGCTAAAAAGAAACCACGGGATGTCAATGTCGCTTTCAAAAAAACGTCCCAACAAAGTGAGATCTTACTTTGGCAAAGGACAGACATGAAAATCTAATCAATTGCCGGCTGCTTACCTTGACAGCCAAAATGGAACTTTTTAAACGAAAATGCAGTAATCAGTCATGAAATCTGACCTTTCGCATGTTATCTCCCTGTAACAATTATCAATATTAACGCAGTGAGGCTTTTTATCTTTTCTGATTAAACTTAATAAGTCAATATAATCTTTCCTTTGGATCAATTAAAACAATGGCAGACACCTTGCAATTCTTCACTCTCTGCGCTAGAAACTCAGTAAAAAGGGTAATCAAAGAACATGAGTATCAAATATTTGCTGCGTCAGTGGTCAGTTCCCACTACGGCAATAAACAAGGGCCGGAAATACGTTTGCGTTCGCAGTCAAAACAATTCAAAGAGTTTTAAATAGTTATTTTGAACAAAGCCGCGCTGTCATTTGCAAAGACGACGGATTGAAGCATAGCAATTAAAAAACAAAAAACATTTGCGGTGCTCCAACGTATTCCTTTACCCTATGAGTTATCCGGCGATTTCGTAAGCGTTAAACTTGACCACATGTTGATGCCTTTCAAACTCTCGCGAGCACTGACAATGGCCCACTTTCACTACAAGAGCGCCCACGCTTTAAGTATTCGTTTGGAAGCTCACGAATCTTTGTCCGCTTGTACATTGTCTACGCCAAAACGATCCGAAAACAAGCGATCGTTTCTGTGGAAATCACACACATTCAAAACGCTCTTCAAGAGGTTTTATGGTGACAGGATGAATAGCCGCAAAATACGGGAGCTTATAAATACGTTGAATTTCTTCCTATTTTTCATCTTCAATGTTGTCTCCCAAGACTCCTGGATGGCGGAGTGAGGGGACGGGGAAGGGGAAGGTGACATGTCTGTCTGTCCAAGTGAGTACTTTTGAGTCAGTTCGATAGGTTTTGGCTGCTGATTGACAATAACTTCTCATATAGACAAGGGAAAACGCAAGGATCTTTTTTTCACGAGTGGAGTTCAAATTTTTGCTTTCCAGGTACCTTGGTTAAAAGGCTGAGAAGTAAGTTGCCGACTACAAGATCACTACAGGCCTGAGGTTAATAAGGTGTATTCTGAAAGAGCTTCGGGCGTTGTAAAATTCCGCACTGGCTCGTAATGAGGTAATTTTGACTAAGAGAACAGATCAGTAAAATGAACTGCGTTGGTTTGGAGTGACTGACTACCAATACTGGTCGAGAGAAGAGGTGATTATTGCATAAGATGTACATTAATAAAATTTTCAAAGTAAAAATTCTCAAACGTGATCTGTTATTAGGAACCAAACTTGATAGGAAGGTGTTCACGTAAAGTTTTTGTCCCTTCGTTGACCACTCCCTTCCGCGCACCACAGATCGCCTTCAAAATGGCAGGCATGATTGTTACTCTTTTATGTTCGTGCAAATAAAGCTCTGACTGAAATTTCGACCAAATTCGATTAAACATGTTGTCGAGGTCAGATAGGTTTATGTACATAAATATAAAAGAAAAGTAACTATGCCCAGCATTTATGAAAGAGGTCTTTAGTGGTCTTAAAGTTGGAGGCAAAATTTCCGAATCTCTCTTCTGAAGCTCTGGATCAGCCCCTCTTGATATGGAGCAGGATGGGAGAGTACTGGGGCCGAACCGCGGATGCTTGTAATTTAATGGAGGTTTATGTTATTGATTTTACCTATGCAGCCCAACAGAAACTATGGTATATCTGGGTGAGTCTGTTGTGTTTTAACGTAGGACATTTCTGATGTTAGGAAGAAAACATTTGTCGATTGACTCTGATTTTTGATAATTTTATTGCTTTGTACTGTGCTATGGTCGCTTATGCTGGAATCTGGGATTTAAAACCAGCATACTATCTTCGCAAAGCCGCCTAATCATGATAATTTAAAACCAAGTGTGGTTTAAAGTTTTGATCTTTAACTATCGCCAAATGTCTGTGGAATTCACAACAACAGACTTAAAACGTTCACTAATTGTCTACCGGACACCGTAAGCTCATGGAGTGTTCTTAGTTTGGAGAAGTTCCCAGGACACGTTCTGTCCACGGACCTCCTACAACTTTTCGCCAGAAAAGCTCCAGTTATGGACTGATGGATTGTGGACTACGGAGTCACTTTTTAAACTGAATGCACTGAAACCTTCTGGGATACTCCTTTCTATACCATTGGTCTCTGCTCCTGGCAACACAATTGCGGAAAAAAGGTAAATAACTCGTCTTTAAGAGAAAAAGTTACTTCTTTGCTTGTAATTTTAGCGACTCGCAGATCTCGCAGATTTGAAAACTTAAAGGATTAACGAAACTTGAATTTCAGGAAATCACGCATATTTGAAACACAAATTTCCTAATTTTGAGGAAATTATTAGGAATCTTTCTATGTCCAAAAGATCAGAGAGCCTTTTAGTGACACACTGAAAACGATTCTAGACGTGGAGCAAAAAGTTTCGCTTAAATTACTTCTTCACGGACTACCAAAAAATTCTATAGTTACATGCAGAGCAGTTTGTGAAGTTCCAGCTTTTGGAATAGTCACCAAATTTTATTTAGTTAGAGTCATGCTACGAGGAGTTCAGGGAATAAGTTCAAAGAGGAGCTTTAATGAAAGAATTATACGACTTCTTTTTCAATTGAAATTGATTATTTTCAAACCAGGGAATGAAACACTGGACTTAACAAAGTCAGATTTCTCCCACAGGTTGTTAAGGCATGACCTTGGCACCCAACCGTCTATGAATGAAGACGCCTGTTGTTTACAACAGGTTACTCTGCGGACCATTCTTTTCACAGATGTTGCCGTCAACATCAAAAACACTGAGTGTTAGCAAACGAGAGAACTAATCTGGACCATAAGATTTCTCGGCGACCCTTTTGCTATTCTGTATCGAATTTCGACCTTTTTAGTCTAGTTTGGAGCCCAATTTTTCCAGAATTAGGCCATTTTAAAACCATCACCCAAGCTCAATTATTTTCCTTTTTCTCAATGTCTTTTTTCTAGCGCAAATTTTTCATTTCATCGATCGTTTGTGAAAGAATATTCTATGTAAATTTGTGTACCAAACGCGTAAGTTTTGATACGTGCCATGGAACAAAATCTATTTACTACCTTTATAATTCGAGTGGAAGTCAGTAGCTGGTAAATTGCTTTCTACTGAATTCATGTTACACCAAAGATCATCCACAGGTGGTGAATACAACTCGTGAATAATAACATCCATTACCGTGCTCATCTTTTATTGTTCAAACTGCATCAGCGACAAGGTCTAAGTGAGCCAGGGTGCACGTGCCCTACCCTTGATCAATATTCACACTCAAGCTGCCGTCCTGCACCTGGTTATAACTGGTTTCCTACGTAATTCAATTACTCCGGCGTAGCATCGTTCTAACAAAATAAAGAAAGAAGTACATATATATTTCTTCTTAACAAGTTCACCCCATAATTTAAAGTACATCAGTCATAGGCTGCATTTATTTACAAGAAATTAACAGAAACAGTAAGCCCAAATTTCCCTTAAATTAAATCTCTTGCTTTTACCGCGACTACGTGCGTTCTGCTGCGCTATATAGCAAGGAAAAACCGGGAGAATGACCTGTTTCATCAATGCTTGAAAACCAGCCAGACCTACAAAAGACAGGGACAACTTTTTTTACTTCGTCGGGAATATAGATGAAACTTTATTTTGAACACTTAGTTTTATCCTAGACAACCAGTTGCTTATGTTCATGAATTACATATTTTGACTTAGGCTATGGAAATGGGAGAAAAGTATATCATGAATCACTGCCGTTTTAAGAGTTAATCCAAGTTGACACTTGCGTCAAGCCTCAATTTTTATGATTAGCAAATGCGAAGAACCATTAGGAAAATTTGTTTTTTTTTTTTAGATGCCTTTATTTCTTAGCACATGCATATCCTAATAACATTTATGAAGGAGTTAAAACCACTTAAGGTTTCGATCAAATTGAACAAATACAGAGCTTCTAATACTATTAGCTTCCGCGTCCGTTGACGTGAATCAATCCATCAGTTATCACTTACATCATTACTGCAATTTCCATTCTAAAAATCACATATCCTCCGGCAGTTACTGAGTGTACGCAGCTGATAACTTAAAAAAAAATAACACTTATACTAACAGAAATCGGACTGTAACATTTTAAGCAGAGAGGAATCTATTTTGAATGAAAATTGTCGCTATAGTAATGTTTACAGACTCTCTCAGTTCGTCTTTTCTAGTATTTGATTCTGAATTAAACGATTTCATTAAAAGTACCTATGGCCACCAATGAATTGTAATCTGTAGCTGCACGTGCAAAGATTTTAAAAAGTACCTTCGAGTGAACATTTGGCGTGAGTTTGAGATAAAGAAAAAAGACATTATGAACTGTTTCTTTTAGATCAGAAGAGGATGAAAACAACGCAAGGAAGATGTAACACTAAGATTTACGAAAAACAGAAAAAAATCCCTGATAAAAGATTGAACCAAAAAAAAGGGATCGAACTCTAGGTGGAGAATGCAGAATAAATCAGAGTACTGAAGAAGCAAATCGAATGGAGAAAGTACTATAATTTCAGAAAATAAATAAGTCCAGGAGACATGGAAAAACCTCAGTGATATCTGTTAGGACTCTATAAATAAGAGGAGCTAACCAAAGGAATTAAGTGGGACCTCTAAGGCTACTCCATCATTGCATAGATCGAAAGATAGCTTAACCCAGCTCGGAACGCAATTAATGTATGCTAATATTTCTCGCCTTTCGCATTTGCGTATAGTGTCATTACAGCCGTTTGCCATCTTGGAACTAGTGTAGTGATCGAGGTCTTGTTTTACGACGATATCTCTATCGTGTCGATAGCTAGTGTTTGAGTGCGTTGTATATTTTTGAAAATTTACGACAAATTGCCGCTATCAGTCTAAATAACTAAGCAAACAAGTATCTCTATGAGAAAATATAAACACAGTCCGAACAGAAGGGCAGGGAACTGTAACAATGTTGATAAACACCCAAGAAAAAGTTAGTGCCTCTACTCCAATCAAAGAAAAGGTTATTAAAACATTCAAATTCACTCTCCATAAAAAAGAAAAAATTAATAAAGTGGATAAGACTTGAATTGGATAGCCAACCAATGAAACAATTTTGAGTGCAAGTTTTATTTGATCGACGGAATGTGTGGCCGCTAGGAAAGCACTGTTATTTCATGACATGTTATATTTATTCAGATTCCTACATTTGTGGATACGCTTTGTCCCTAAGGCCATAGAAATGTAAAGGTGTCTACGTGTATAATTTACACTTGCATTAAGAGCTCAAGAAATTGCCTAACTTTAGCACTTTATCCACTTAAGCATAGCTATTCTCAGAAGTGCTTTTAGTCGGCGAGATTTATCATTTGTCAGGATCCATCCACACAAAGGAAATGGCCGCGGTTCCGTTTTTTTAATCGGAAATCTTAATTTCACTTTACAAATGAAATCAAATCAATTAGAAGATTCAGCCTAAAAAGCTTAAGGGAAACATGTTTCGCCAATTGATTTGAAAGGTAATTGCACTTCAGGCGTTAATTGTAGTATGTGCATAAGAGGCGTGCTCACGAAAAATACAAAAGTCAAAACGCTACTTATTTCAATGGAATGAAAACGAACTATAAAAAAATTTCTGATAAAGAAAAATAGGGAAATAGGTCGGAATTACCAAGCAAAGGCACAACATAAATGAGAAGTTTTTGATCTGTATTGATTGAAACACGAAAAATATATTCTCAAGCCGCAGGGAATAAATTTCAATTAACAAAGGACATTTTGAGTTGATGCCCGATCTCAGGAAAAAATTAAAAGGGGCATAGTAAAGCCAATTTCCACTCAATAATAATAGTAAAAAGTGATGTAGCTATTTTCATGTGAAAATGGCGTGAAGTTGTACAGTCTTACAGTTTAAAGTACCTCAGGTGTTCGCTTCTCACAGAGCTTAACATTTTTCCTAACAGGTGAGGTGGTCGCTGAATAGCAAATGTAAAAAAAGAATGAACTTAATCCTTATTAATCTTAATAGGGTGCATACAACTATCTCTAAGTCAAATATTTCTTTAAATTTACTCCACCCGTACTAGGTCAATATTTATTTATTTTACTATAAACGTTGTTGTAATATCTATTATAGAGCGGATGGTAGTGTGATTTCTTGTTCAAATAAATTATAGTTAGTATTTACCAAATATAAAAGCACCGTCTTCTTATCTCGGAGCAGGTACCTCGTTTGTCAAAGAAAACTAATCCTCATACAGGTTTAAGTGCAAATCTTGCTCAGAAAACCGCGCTTCTCCAGCAAGGAACATTCTGAAAACAGATTTATTGGTCAGACGGTGTGCTCAATATTTGCCTGGATCAGTGGTAGTTTAGGCTGCGGAATTATCTTTACTCTGCTCTCTCTGTTTGCAGCTAATAAACATGTTATAGTTGTATGTCACAATCGTTAAGTGCCATGACACGGAAAAATAGAATAATTCTCTTCAGCTAGAGCGCATGTCTACGAGCGAATTTGCCACACGCAATCAGATCGTTAAGTTCAACAGAATATCAGCTGTAAACAGGTTCCACAGTGCGTAACTTGTTATGGGAGTCAGAAAAATCAATAGGACTACGTTGTAGCAGTTCAATAGTTATTTGTTGAATAGTAGTCAATTGTTGTGCACCACAATTTACAACTTTTACAACTTAGGGTTTCTTCATGGCTGCCCAGCTCACTTACTCACAAAAAATGAAAAATTTTAAAATAATGTCACTAGAAATTACTGCATTGCTCTTCCCCTGAAAGAGGAAATCGGCTGCGGAGATTTCGCTTCAATGTTTATTTCTCTCACCCAACACCACCGATATTAATATCTAACTCAAACGTGAAACAATTTTTTTAACTTAGGAGCAATTTCCTTTGTAAAGTTGCTGAAGTTTTCCTAAACTCTAACCGCAAATCCAAATTTATTATAAAACTGGGTCAATTCTAAGTTCCGGTTGCTTTTCCAACTGAGATCTATTTTCTTCAATCCATAAATATTTGATTTTTCTTTGTATACGTGCATAATTTTCCGTGGATATACATAGCGTTAGTTTTAAACTTTTTGCAGAGAAAACCGCTGTGTATACGCGCGGTGTATCGTTGTTACATCAGTAAGAGGTTGTATTTCCAACAATATTCACAAGACTTAAAGAACGAAAACACCAATGAACAAGAGCACCCTGTTGGAGGTCTGAAAACAAGGAACTTGATAGAAGCATCACCAAGGAAATTAAATGTATAAACTTGAGGTTTTGTGGGATGCAGCACGATACATTTGTTGACCAAATTGTTAAAACTGTTTTGAAATAATCCGGAGAGAAACCTTATTATGTACTTGATATTGAAAATTCCAAAGAAATTTATATTGAAGAGGTTTTCTAGGCGTACTGAAGGAACGCGTTGCTCTTTGCGAGGTTTTTCTCCAGTCATTTAATTACGACGTGTGTTGCTACAATGACAAAACAACCTTGAAAAATGAAGGGCGGTGTGAGAGGAAATTACTGAATATCCGGCGAACAAAACTGAAAATGGAAAAGATATTGAACATTTTTTCTATGAAGATTAAATCGGGAAAATATATTGGGCCGTAAGAAGCGGCTTTCAATTTTCATTTTAATACCATGAGGAAAAAACTCATGAAAGCATGTTTGGAATACAGTCGGGGTGAAAAGAATAAGAAAAGTCATCGCCCTTTTGCGATGAACGCATAGCACGTTCTTCTATTGTACTCTGATACAAGAAAGGGAGTGTTGGCTTCGATTAAAAACCTCATCAAGTCTTAAACTCACCGGTTTCGTAGCAAACAAAATTAATGCCTCATGATACGTTGACAATCAAAACAAAAGCCGATTGAATTGCCGAGGTGACGACCGCCCTTATGGAAATTAGATGAAAATATTCAATATTTACTAGTCTTACTAAATGCATAACACGACACGTAACCAATTTTATCCAACAACATCTCTGAATCTTCATGTTTTGTCTTGCAAAAGATACTCATGTAAAAAACCAAGTCTGCAAATTCTAAATGTTTATGGTTATGTCTAACAATTGACAAGATATACCAAAAACTGTAATAATTCGCTCAGATTTACAACTGTGGTAAATGTCTAAAAGAGATCATTTTATCGAAAACAGGTACACATATCTGTAAAATGGATGATTATTAATAACTTATGCAAAGATTCGCTTTCAAAGTTTAGTTGTTATGAAAAAACCATATAACATTCGTCGCCTGTTTGCAAATGTAACATGCACTTTCTGTGATATTATGTGGTTAGAAGAGTTTGTATAAGTCTAAGTTCCGCAAAAATCCTTGGGCTTCATTTCTTATTGTGGTTTAATATTTTATTCTTCTTTGTTCCTAAGTCGTAAGAAGATGCGAGAAAAAGAAAGAAAATGTTTGAAACAAAGGAAATCTAGTCTCACCCCGGCGATTATCGAAGAAAAACGACAACCTGGAGAGATACATTTAGTAACACTGCGCTTTCATTCTTCCTTGTAACTCGCTTTTGTTCTAGCTTTTAAATGCGTTTACAAAAGAAGTCCTGGGAAGTTACAGCCTTTCCACCTTAATTTTCACTCTGAAAGGGCGGAAAAGATGAC